GAGGGGCTGGGGAGTCTCCTTCTCTGGAGATATTCCAGCCCCCCTGGCCGCGGTGCTGTGCAGCCTGCTGTGGGTGACCCTGCTTGGGCAGGGGGTTGGGCTGGGTGACCCACAGAGGTCCCTTCCAACCCCCAACATTCTGTGATTCTGTGAGTCTCGTCTTTGTGAACACTCCCTCTAGAATCTATACCCTGTCACTATAAGGCAGGATACCTAGAAAAGTCACAGCTATCAAAAGATAATCCTAGAAAACACTGCGTTTCTAGGAACAGAAGCTTTCTGAAGGATAATTTAGCAGAACTGATGCAGTGATGCCTCTGATAATAGCTTCAAGATGAGTAAGATGACCATTCTTATGTACTGCAGCTTTAGCTAGCTCTGAAACCTAACAGTGGTAACAGTTTACACCGCAGATGAGCCTACGTGCAGTCGTATTTGTGAAGCAAACACACACAGCTGATGACCCTACCAGTATGTGGTGGGTGCAGAGTGATACGAAAAAACATAAACTGGAGCAAACCACGAATTTCAGGTCACTTCTGACTCTTTACAAATGGCGACTGCTCAAAGTTTCAGCAAGCTTACAGCTGGTGAAAATATAATCCCCTTGTGTTTCCTATCCGGTTGTCAATAATCTTCCGCTCCTTCTGTAGGTCAGCATAAAAAATGCCTTCTTTCATACTAAGAAAATCAGCTGCACTTAACTTCGCTACTGACAAAAGCAAATGACAACAAGGAACTTCATAACGACTTTCGAGGTAATTTCAGAAATTATCTCGAAGTTAGACGTTTCCTGAAAATCCCGAGTCTGTCACCAAAATGGGAGCCCTCAACCCAAGGTTTAAGTCTAAATGCTCAAGTCGTCTTCTTCTGGTGGCTACGTAAGTTTAATTTTGCTTCCACGCTGCATCACCGTACACCAAGGGCAACACCAAGGGGACATAACAAGAAGACGGCACACGTCCTGGGAGCAAGCTGCTTCTAACTTGTAATTGGCAACTATATACTGATTATTATCTCAAGTTGCACATATGATAAAGGAGAGGAACTGAAAGCACAGAAAGAACGTCAGTGCCAAGGCTTTGTGAGCTGGCAGGGAAAAGCAACACATTTAACAGCGTAAACGGCACTTCTGAAAAATGCTCACAGAGCGAGCAGGCAGCTTACTTGCCAGGAACGGTTTATAAAAAAAGGACAAATCATCAGGTGGAGTAGGAAACTGGACAGTCTCAAAAATGAAGCCATGAAGGACGCTGCCAAGGAAGTACGAACGAGCAGTAAATCTTCCCTGCCCGTGTGAGTTAGAGGACAAAGAACGAAGCAGGCTCCTGGCTGGAAAGCCAGGAGATGAGCAAAGACTCTTCTCACCATTTGTCACCACGCTGGGCCTGTTCTCAGCATCATTATTCTCACTGAGCACAGACAGACAAGCAGGGAAGCGTTGCCGTCCTTAGAAAGTAAATCCAGACAGGAACCTGACCACAGATAACAACTTAGAACTCGAAGGAAAACGTATTAAAAAAAGCTAACGTGTATAAAATGTATTCTTGGTTTACAGAGAGAGAATGTGCCAAATTAATCCGAGGGGTCTTTAAAAAGCCTGACTTCTTGGGTAGGGAAGACACAGCAGATCTCCTCCGCCTGGGCCCCAGCACAGCTCTCCACACAGAAAATGCACAGGAAAAACAGAAGTCAGCACAAAAACTGTGATGCGGTGAAGGAGGAGGCGAACAGGAAAACGGTCGTGGGGCTGCTGAAAGGGGAACCACAGGTACGGAGGGAAACCAAGTGGAATTTATTGCAGACAGCTCAGAGAAGCAGGATTAGTATATATTTTTACTAATAACCTTGGAATAAGATATAGGGACATCTGCCAATGACACAAAATAAACACCTTTACTACAGAAAAGGAACAGAATATCTGAAAGAGGTGATGTGAGGGCTAGAATACATTTAATCCCCTTTCTATTAACAGCACAAAGTGCAAGACTTTGGGAGCTGGGGACTAAAAAGAGTTTCTGCTATAAGGTGGGAGCTCATCAGCTGGAAACGACGGAGAGGGGCACGGGAAAGTTCATCGATCGCTTCCTAATGAGTAAAATTGATGTGACTGGCCATGAAAAAGGGACTGGCAACCTCGCTGTATTTCAGGAAAGGCATTTCCACGGAAAATAATGCAAAAATGAGACTTCTCCGAGCATACTGTGTACAGTTCTGATCTCCCACGTTCAGGAACGATACGTCAACCACAGTGCCAAGAGGAGCAACCAGGACGACAAACTGAACACAGAGCCAGAGTAAGCTTACAGAGTAAGCCAAGAGTGTCGTACGTTTAGCTTAACACACAAGGATTTGTTGTGGGGAGCATGAGTAAATATCTGGAAGCAGAGGAAAGATATTTTTGTACAAAGACTGTGGCGGGACAAAACCAAGCAGGTATAAACTGGTCCTAAATATAGCCGAAGCGGAAAGTCAGGGGAAGGCTCCTGACCACGTGAAATTCTAGAAGAGCTTCACAATAGGCACGGGAGGGTCAAATGAGCTTGCTTTAACACAAAGCTCGCGTGTGTTTGTGGAAGAAAAGAAGGTTATCAGGAGTAGTCAGCATGGATTCACCAAGGGGAAATCATGCCTGACCAATCTGATAGCTCTCTACGATGACATGACTGGCTGGGTAGACGAAGGGAGAGCCGTGGATGTTGTCTACCTTGACTTCAGCAAGGCTTTCGACACAGTCTCCCATAACATCCTCCTAGGGAAGCTGAGGAAGTGTGGGCTGGATGAGTGGTCGGTGAAGTGGATTGAGAACTGGCTGAATGGCAGAACTCAGAGGGTTGGCATCAGCGGCGCTGAGTCTGGTTGTGGCTGGTAACAAGTGGTGTCCCCCAGGGGTCAGTACTGGGCCCAGTCTTGTTTAACTTCTTCATCAATGACCTGGATGAAGAGTTAGAGCGTACCCTCAGCAAGTTTGCTGATG